GTTAATACACTCGGATGGCCGACATGTTATTTTTGTTTTTTAATTTCAGGATGGTGTCTATTAAATATTGCATTCTTATTTATTACTAGATAATAATTCCGTCGTAGTAAAATATTGATTTATTTATTTTTATATTAGTACATAGAATAAATAGAGTTGACATAAAATTTAACCGCTCATTCAATCGACTCGTTGTTACGTTGTCCCTTCAAAGTGGATTTTTTTGTGAAAAAAAAAAAATTGAAAACAATGTGTCGACACGTGTAACACAAAGCATTGTTATGGCCTCTCATTTAATAATTGTTAACGTAAGTTTCCTTACAACTGACGAAGTTAACCATGAACACTCGTCGCAATAAAACATTTAATCAATTATTGAATACATATACAAAAACACGTAAAAAATTGACATAGTTGTTGATCATTACGTGAAGTATAAATAAAAAATGACTTTTCTTTGAATGTACGTCACCTTTTTTCTAATTAAAACGATTAAAATATAATTTATATGGAAGCGCATTTTACTGTGCGGATGAACTTGAAATATGTCAACCTTGTGAAGCAATAATTATTTTCTCGCCTAGAATAATGCGTAGCTGTAATTCGATCGACTTGATCAGGAACGGCAATTTTATTAGCAATTTTTTCGTAACAGTTAGTAGGAACTCATGAAAAATTAAATCCATGATAGGTATTTAATTCACACCAATCTGGCAAAATATGTCGTAAAATTACAGAGTTTAGAAGTTTGTCTACGTGTAAAGATTTTCTAAGAACAACTTCCTCATTCTATGACTTATCCTGCTTGCAGTATTTCACACCTGAAAATATACAACAAAATCGTGTAAATGTTATGTTTTTATTTTGATTTTAAATAAATATTTACAACACTATCTCTGAAAGGATTAATAGAACAGAATTTATTCGTTTCCGCGTTTTTTAAAGACAGCTTTATTGTCATCTGGCTTAATTTGTTTTACTGCTCAATAATACACAAAAAAATAAATATACAAGAGTTGTTAAAATATGCAGAAAAGGCTGATATATGCAAAAGTGAATTAGCATTACTTGCTTCTAATTGCTTCAGTTCACATAAACCTTGAAAATTTTAATGGTCACAATTTTATATACTTATTCTGGACTCTGCAAGTTTACTTAGTTTCCTCAATTACGCTTCCTTTGCTGTATATATTTGTGTACAACAAAATTTAAATCTAAATTGATTATGCAGCATTTCGTGATTATTTATTTTTTTATCCACTTTTCACAAAAAGCGAACAAAATATGTATAAAATAAATGTTTATTGAAAAATACACACACAATTACTGCACAAAGTACCTTGAAATGCCGTTTTACTACTGATTTATTTGTTTACGATTCTACCATTATTTTTGATGGAATACATTAGTTTTATTTAGCGTGACTTACTAATTTCCATTTATTTAGACTCTATGTGGGATTCGATTAATTTGTTGCAACTTTATATCTTAAATGTTTTTTTTTTATTTGAACCTATGCATTATCCATGAGAGTTTTTGTCTATTGTTTGTTGTTGTACATTTTGTCTAAATGTCTGAACAACTATTGCAGACATAGTTGTTAAAGGTCAATGTCAAAAAAAGAATTTCAAATCAGTTATTAAAAAATGCATCAAAATGCTACATTAAAAGCTTCACAAACAAATAGACACCGTTCAAACTTAGCAAATACTAACATAAAATTAAGCAAACACTAAAATGGGGCAAGAATGCTAGTTGATGATTTTTCGTATTACTATTTTAAAAAAAATTGTCTCTATTTAAACTTATTTACAATCTAGTAATACATGTGCGTCAAGGAATTTCCAAAACTGCAAGGAATTCCCAAAACTGATTTTATCCTACCGTTGAACTAATGGGCTAGCGAATATTTTGCATAAATTTATATAAATTTATTCTCTAGTACGTCATTAATGATTTCTGGTTCAACATAAAGACAAACATATTGTTGTTATGTTGTTATGAAAAAGCAGATTAACTATGTGACTGGATAAATCTGACAGTTATTACGCCATTTTATTGATTACTTAGATATTACGATAACGGTAATAAAACGTCTGCAAGGTTTTAAAGCATTCGGTTCTTTAGTTCCTGGATTTAAACAATAAAATAGATCGAATATTTTGAAATGATGTTATCAATTTTTTGGGTAATGATTTGCCATGATTACGATAACCTTAAATGTTTGCAATATTTCAGAGCACTCGGTTTTGCAGATTCATCGTTAAATTGTAAAATATTGTTATACTTTATATAGGGTGAAAACTCGACACGAATTCATACACCACAAGTGCAGAGGTTTATTTTATAAAATTAAAAAAAAGATGAAAATGACGTCATCCCTTTGAGAGTGGGGATGATCAGACAAATTTTGGTTATCGTTTTACTATATGCATGATATTCCTAATATACATACAAAATTTGACAACAATCGCAGTAGTTTTGGAGATTATTTGTTTAATAAAAATCCGGGGAGACGGCAGGCAGACACACAGGCAGACACACACAATACTCTATTATAATATTTCCGTCGGGAAGTAAAAATGATTGTGAAAAACAGACAGTCACAATATGTAAATATAATAATAAAACTACTTTTTTTTATGTGTACAGACTATTTTAGTGTTGTTACTTTCAGCTGATGTTTTTGCAAAAATACTCTAAATGTCTCCGGTTTCTTGATTTCCACGAATCCACAAATTTAAATAATGTACTTATGCTCACAAAGAAGATTATAACAAGACATACTACGAAGATAACAGGTGTTCGGTTGGAAAAGTCATCAGGTTCGCACAACGAAAAACGCGTGATTGTGTTTTATTAATCCCTACTGTTGTATATAATTGACATTTGACAATTAAATTTTAGGTTCATTCGAGATATATTTTACACGTGTCCACAAAAAATCAAAGCCAAGGTGATGACTTTTCGCGTATTCTATAACGAGGAACCAAAACATTAACAGTGTAAGATTAAATAAATAAAGCACTCATTTTTATAAAAATTGCAAGAAAAAAATTTAGCGTATCAAAGCACAATTTCTCGAATACGCAACCCGTTTGTCAACATTACGGTTTTAGTTGCATTTTACGAATTTCAAATATCTGCAATTTTAATGAGTGTTCTCAAACTGCATATATGACATCGAAAAAACCTGTTTTACTTTCATTGAATATTTTTTTTGTAACAATTATTATTTAAGTCATAATTGCGGTTTTGATTTCCAAAGTGATTTAGATAGAATACCTCAGAGCTAAAGTTTGGAAATAGTCTATACCTGTAAGCCTGCAGCACGACTTTTAGAAAGTTCTTTAATTTGTGACTTGCTGCAGTGATTTTTTACTTCCGGAGCGTAAGCTAAGGAAGTGTTGTAATCGAGTCCAGAGGTCGACTCTCTACTTTTATGTTTTCTCGACCTTTTATGATCCCTAGAGTACGAAGAAATGGGTCCTCCGTTTCTGTCTGTCTATGTGCCTATAATCTCCGAAACTACTGGACCGATTATTGTCAAATTTTGTATGTGTACCAAAATTTGGCTAATCATCCCCACCACCAATGACATGACGTCATCTCCAAAATTTACAATAATATATTTTTTTATTTTTCTATAATAAGATACTCTTGCATTTGTGATATATGAATTCGTGTTGGGTTTTTTCCCTAGACTCCTAGACATCCAGATTTGTAGGAAACAAATCAAAATTCTATAACATTTTACAATTTAACTTTGAAAATGCAAAACCGAATGCTCTGAAATTTTGTAAATTAAGATTATCGTAATGATGGTAAATTGTTAGTCACAATTTATTCGTGCTACTACCTAAATTGTGCAAAATATGATAAGTCTATACTTGTGATTTATCATTCCATTAATTGTTTTTAGATTTTCTTATACAGGGTGTCTGAAAAAGATTAATGAATGAGTCAATTTATTTGATTTATTAAATCAGGAAGTGCAAACCCAATGATTTGGAATCATGTAGACGTTTTAAAGATATCGTAAGCATGGTAAATTTGTAATCAAAATGTATCTGCTCCAAAAAATTGATGAGGCCATCTCAAAATTTTGCCGAATAAATCGTATCGAAAATGTGACAAAATATGATGAGTCTGTACTTGTAATTTATCATTGAATTTATATTCTTTAGAATTACTTACTTACTTGAGTGACCAAACAAAATACCTTATTACTAGTATTACACTGCACCTAACCACATTGACATCCATATCCTTGCAAAAATGTTAATGGCTTACTTGAAACATATCCATAGTACGTTTCTTTACATTTACTTTAACATTACGTTATTATAAAAAAAATTTATTTTACAAAATCAAGTTTTATAATTTTTCGAAAAAGCTGAGTGTGTTTTATTGTATCTACTTCAGAAGCGAGGAAAGTTCTGTCGAAATAACCTTAGACCACTTTTTTTTGTAAAATGCATACGAGTTTCAAGTTGTGATACATGGATCTACTTCAGGGGGTGGGATTTTGTTTCTCTATCGAAAAAAACTCGATAGCGATAAAATCTCGTTTGCTGATTGGTTGAGATGCTACATTTCTGTCACATTTCTCGATTCTGTCATGAAATCAAGTCTTCATGGAGTGATATTTTCTCGATAGCTTTGAATGAAGTGATACATTTTGGAGACATAACCTCGAAAGTTATGTCAAAATAGAAGTTCAAAATCGTAATTCTGAGTTATAAGTTGTTAAAATTAAGGTAATTGTAAACTTTTGAGCAATTAATAAGCTTATATGCAAAGAATAAATGCAAACTTTTACATTTAAAAGCTACGCAATGGCATTTATCGCAAGTGATAATTTATCACTTCGATCGAGAAACAAAATCGCACCCCTTGTTTAGCATACTCGGTGATAAAGCAACAACATTTCTGTAGTAGTAGTAGTATTAATTTATTATTTACCTTACAGGCTTAATAATATTCCCACGTACGTACGTCTATTCTCCTTCTTCATCTCTTTCCTTTTTTCCATTCAAAATTTCCCATCCCATTTCTTCTGTTATCTCCCACAATATTTTCCCTTCTTTGTTATTTGCTTTGTCTTTTGTTTCCTTTTCTATGTTTATCTTGGTTTCCTCCATTTTCTTACTATAAACGGTTATTATTTCCCATCGATTGTTATTCAGCTGTATTACGTTCTTCATTAATCCGTGTTTATTATTATTTCCTTTTTCCAATTCTTGCATTTCTTTTCGAATTCCCATTAATATTCCCCCGCTTTTCTCCCTTTTTTCTTGTCCTTTGTCGCCCCTTGACATATATTCTTGTGGTAGTGTTTCTTCCAATTTCTTCCAATTTTCTCTTTGTACCCATGTCTCGGTTAGCCCCATCACATCAAATTTTTCCACGTAGTCCCAGAACTCCTTTTCCTTTTTTCGCAACCCTTGGATATTCCAAAACAGTACCCTTTTTCTCGTAATTTTGTACCAGCTTCCATTTTTCCGATTTCCCTATCTGCATCCTTTATTCCTTTTCCTTTGCCTCATTTTATTCCATTTTACCTCCTTTTCTTCCTTTTCTTTTGGCTCTTTACAAAAAATTTCTGCCTTCTTGAGTCTGCTCTCTTCTTCATTCCATTCAAAATTTCTGACGTCTACAGTTAACTTTTTATATCCCATTCTAACCATTTTTCGTTTATTTCTCTCTTTTGTTGGCTCTTCTTTTATCTTGTTTTGATTTTTTTAAGTTCTTTTTGCTTTTCGTTACATTTATTTTTTCTTCTCTGTTTTTGAATTCCACTACATAAATTTTCTCTGCAATTTTTTACGCGCTTTTAGCTTTACTTTCTACTTTGACTTTCTCTTCTAAAAATTTTGTCACCTTTTCAATTATCTGTTTCTGCTCTTCTGTTTCTATTTCCAATTCCATCATCACTACTTTGTTTCTTCTTTTTTCTCTCTCCATTCGATCTAGTTGACTTTCTGCTTCACCCATTTTCTTTCTCATTTCTTCCTTAGCTCTCTTCCATTCTTCATACTTACCTCTAATTTCTTGATTTTGCTCCTGTAGTTGATCTGTTGCTTGCTTTAATCCTTCTCTTATTATTTTAAGCTCCTCTTTAAGCTGTGTATTCCATTCCTTCAATAATTGTTTATTACTTTCTCTTATATCATCTTTGATTTGTGTCGCAAGTTCGCTGACCATCTCCTTGACCTCCTCCATCTCTATATCTCCTTGATTTTACTTCTTTCTCGATTGCAGAGGTGATCTTACTGTTATTTTCGTTCTTTGGAAGACCTGCTCGTTCTCTTTCGGCGACTCTACTTCTCTATCCCTTTTCTTTCTTTCTGTCGCTGCACTACTCATTACCTCTTTGTCTCTAACTTCCTTCACGGCGGAAGGATATAACCCAGATCGTCTCTTCGGAGGTTATTCTCTACTTACTAGTATTTTAGTGAATTACTTATTGCCTCTATTTAAAGCCACACTTCCCTTCTAGAAGTTCCGGAGTCGAGGTCTTTCTGGATTGCCCATCGCGACTTCTGCTTCCAGGCTTTTCGACAGCGAATACCGCCTGGCCGCCGTCATCGACGATGAATCGTCATCATCCCCGTACATCTAGAACCCATAGGCGTCGTATGGGTTTCTTTCGCAACAATATATTTCTTTAACTGTCGTGTTTTTATTTATATTTCGTTTCTGCAGAGCTTTTTTTTTAGGGGTGCCTACCCCACTTTTACTACTATTACTTAACGTCCACATTTTTTGTTGACAATAATTTTCAGAATTAACCTACCAACAAAATTGTTGATCGAAAACGATAATGCACTTAATTTGCTCTCATACAAATTTTATAAATTATGCTAATATTTTGGCGTATAAAGTAAATATATAGAATTGTGTCATTTATACACAAATAAATACGCATCCTAATATTCTAAATCACCTCACAAACAACATTCAATTAACTAATACCATTCCCGTAATTATTGATACGCTTTATCCTAATGTCTTTACGTTGTCTATTATACTAGGCAGATGTGACAAGAATTTAACATAACAAACTACGATAATTAATATCAATGTTTTCTTGTAATATAAATACATATATACATAATAATAATTGAATTGGTGATTGTGATAGATCATTGGAAATTGTTTTTGTGTCATACATTAACCAGCAATTTTTTTTTTGATTTATGGCAAGAAAGTTATAATTTTAATTTAACATTTAAAGGTCGAAGGTGGCAGTGCGGAAAGTCGGGTGTTTATCTTCATAATTTTAGTGTCAGGTTTATACTTTGTACTATGTAATTGTACATGCCATTGTTAAATTATCTAAGGCAAAATTGCTACAGCTAAAAAACACGATCAAAGACAGCCTCGGATTTTTGAAAATTTACCGTCAAAGTTTGAAAAGAAAAACTTTGAAAAATCCATGGCTGTCTTTGATCATATTTTTATTGTTTTCTCGGTGTAACAATATAGACAAGCAAATTAGTGTAAAAATTACTTGTACATCTTAAAAATAAAAAATCTAAATAAAAAAGACAATTAAAACAAAAGGATAAACATCTGTTTACCGAAGGAGTGTTTCACAATAGCAAATAAACAACAAAATAATAATAACTTTACGAATTACAATAAAACGATAATAAAACACAACAATAAGAAAATAAAATTATAATAATCGCACCTGTACAATCTTTTCGGTCTTGAATCAAACGATCATTAGTTTAGTATGCATCTGGTGTCCAAACACAACATTTCACAACATTTTGCAAGCAAGAGATCTTTAATAGTGAGATAATTCCATCTTTCCCCAATTTTTTCCACAATAATTTCCGAAACCACATGATTGTTGATTTCGTAAATTTTCACTTCTAGACTTCGTTATATAACTTAGACTTCATAAATAATAACAGTAGCAATAATAATAAAAATAACGAATCGTATTTACCATTTAAAATTTAAATTGACTCAGCATTATATAATCATACAAGATAATATTGCACACTCGGTGCATGTACCGGCTGCGTATTAATTGAAAGTGAAATCTTTTAATAACGTTAATTTTCCATGTTTTATTTGCTGAAACTCTAAGTTCACGTCTGTCACTTTAACGGCTTTTCTCTCGGCAAAACAGAACCAACAAATTGAATTTAATTTTAAGCAATCGGCGTCACTAGTTCCATCTAGTGTTCAAGGTTATTAATAAAACTTTATTTGAGTTGACCCAAAAATCTATCACCAGAAAAAACAAGGAAATGATCTTGTTACGAAATTAGTCCCATTTCGCGTAAAATTTCTTCTTTCACGCATGTTATTAATCGTAGAAAGAATGTGATCTCGTAAGCACGCAGTTACGAACGCACCTAAAGCTTGAGCGAGAGAAATTCTTACGGGACAAAATGATGAAAGTGAAATTCACTGTCAAAAGTGAAAGAACTTTTGAACGACCTTGGCTTGAATTTTACCTCGATTATGCCATATTATAATATCGGCGTGTTTCAGCTGTTTGGGTTTATATAAGAAGCCTACTTTTGGTTCGGATGAGGTGTTCAAGGTTCCTGAAGGATCTACGGTGCACGTGTTTCCAAATATCTCTAATTACTCATTTTAAGTGTTTGGCAATTTTCGTGAGTGAGTCAAGTTGAAAGTCCAAGTCATTCGGACCACTTGACCTTTGGCTCCATTCCGGATGTTACTACATACCGAAAATTTTAGAAAAATGTCTCTTCTTGTTTTCCGAATTAGTTTTTAAGCTATTTCTCAATATTTTCTTTGTTGCTAGTGTTGAAACGTTCCACTCATGTGGACTCTCTTGCTTTCAGATTTCTCAACTAGGTATGTAGAAACTATGTAACTTTTATTGATTGTTGGTCGGCTTGTGGAAATGTGCATGAAGATTCAGTGGCCAAAATGTCAATTAAAATTATTTAGGTCGCGACACACTCTCTAAGAATCGAGTCGGACACAAAGAGAGAGAGGTTTATTTGCAACCTGTGTCTGTCAAAGTTGGCATATTTGAAAGTGCCAGTGTTTTCAAATGAATAGATTTTAAAAGCTGGGATAGCGTTTGGTTCCACGCAACTGTCAAATTTTTACTCAAATGTGTGCTCTAAAATTAATCGTTGAGTAATCAGAAGACCATTTATAACCAATTAATAGCAACCTTGTGAATTACTTTGTGTTTTGGAGAACTAGATTTCGAAAACTAACTAGTGGATTTTTCAGATTAGTGGGTATAATGTATTTTTAACCAAAACTAGTTTAATATACTAATGTGATGAAGATTACAGAAATTAATAAAGAACATTAGAAGCCATACAATGATATAAACATTGTTTACCTTTTCTGTAGAATAATCACACATTTTGTAACCAATTTAAGCGATTATCAACTGCAGGTATTGCGAAACAGTCGTAATCTATTAATGACTCTACCTCAGACTACGGTATTTTTTATATATTTGTTTATGTTTAAATTCTGTATTTTCAGAAATCCTGGCTTTCATAATAGTCAGAGAAATGAGACCTTTAGTAATACAAGCAAAAATACATACCTACATTATTCTGTGTCGAAGCTAGTTCTTATTTTCGGTTTAATTAATCATTTTCGTTGTTATTTTGAAATTTTATAGATCACCGATCATCGTAACACTGGTATCGGAAGTGAAATTTGAGATTAATAACTGGTTTTACGATGACTTCCGGGCAAATTGGACAAGAATTCTGGAGAATTTATGCCTGTAGAGACTAGAGTTCAAGCCGCGGACGAACAAGTAAAGCAGATGATGCCTATGCTTGCACAAATGGACGAGAAAATGGGCGCAAGAATGAAAAAAATGGGCGAAAAAATGGACTCAAAAGGGAAACAATGGATGAAAAAATGAATGCAATAAACAAAGAAATGGACGAGAAGATGGACGCAAGAGATGAGAAAATGAATGCAACAATGGAAGCAGTGAACGGAAAAGTGGAAATGAGGGACGTCAAAATAAATAAGCAAATCAACCTAACTGAAAATTCCAAAGGGATGTGGAAGCAAACAAGAATGAAATAGAAGAAATCAGAGAAGAAATGAAGGACGTAAAAACAAATTTGGAAAATGTGGAAAATATTAATAATAATAATAATAATTTATTAACGGAAATCCATTTACAAAATATACATAAATATGTAAATAATAAGATTAGACCAAATAAACAATTCATAATAAATAAATAGCTCGGTACAAACATAATAAAAAAAAATAATAATTTTTACTTAACACTTAAAATTATTATATTCATTAGGAAATACTAAATTAAAAACTACTATTTCAAAATTAATCTTAAATTCTTCTTAAACACTTGTTTTGAACTATCCAATAAATTAAATGTTTCATGCTTACAAAGATCAGTTACAACTAACATCATTCTCCTAAAGGGGTAATTATGAGCTAAATTTGTGGCGAACGAACTAATTCTAAAAATTTGCTTGCTTCTGGTGTTTCTAATTTCCGGAGGGCTAATAAGGAAGGATAATTTCTCCAGAATGGTGCTATTATCAATGGAACTATTGATGAACCCATGAAGAAATGTTAAGTCACTAGTTATTCTACGTGTATGTAAAGTTTGCATGTTGAGGAAATTAAGAATAGTTGTTGATTATTCTCCCTTCTGATGTTGCTGTCCAAGTTTAAACTCCATACGGATGAAGCATATTCTAAGTGAGCCCAAACTAAGAAGCGATAGAGAATCTTCAATACAGCAGGAGATAAATCTTTACAGTTTCTCCATAAAAATCCCCACAGTTTGAAAACTTTGGTTATAGCAGTAAAGTAATTATTCTTGAAAGATAATGACGAGTCGAATAATACACCAAGATCTTTAACTTCATTAACATGATCGATAACAGTATTATCCAGTACATAATCGAAAGGTATTATAGTCTTCTTATTACAGATTGAACAAGAAATGTGTCTTGAATAGATCTAATGCAACTAAAAAGTTTTAAATCGTCAGCAAAAAATAGAAAATTACAATGATGAAATACTTGCGATAGGTCATTTATAAATAACAAAAACAAAAAGGGACCACAATGCGAACCTTGTGGCACTCCTGACGTTACTTGAAAAGACTCAGATAGAAAATTGCCTAGCCTTACCTGTTGCCATCTATCACATAAAAACGATCTCAGCCAGATAATCGTTTCCCGTCTAAATCCCAAATGGGACAGTTTTAATAATAAGATCCTCTGATTAACTTTATCGAATGCTTTCGAAAAATCGGTGTATATTGCATCCACTGGACATCTATTCCCAAAAGATTCGTTAAGATAAGAATAGTATTCAATTAAGTTGGCCCATGTTGATCTCTTAGGACGGAATCCATGTTGCTTTTCAGTCAAAATAGAAGAACTCATCCATGATAGCTGTTTAGATACAATTAGATCAAAAATTTTTGGTAATATCATTTGATTACACACCCCACGATAACTATCAACTTGATTACGTTGGCCTGCTTTGTATATAGGGACAATATAACTAATTTTCCATGCATCTGAAAACTTCAAATCAATCAATGACAATTGGAATAAGTTACATATGGGAGGAGACAACGTAAATATGCACTTCTTTATAAACAGGCTTGGAATACCATCTGGGCCAGGATTGCATGATACTTTCAGATTCAAAATACTGTCAAAGACATCAAATAATAGAGACATGTAATCCAGGATCGTTAATACTGTTGCTAATAAATGAAGAACAATCATAACTATGGTTATCATTATTGTAGGACAAATGGTCTCAATGGAGCATCAATTAAAGAGTGAGTTCGAGAAATCAGTGGAATGTATAGAAGATTGAATGAAAAGTAAAATGAAGAAATTTGAATAAACAATAAAAAATGCAGGAACCACTGGTTCAGGTTATGGGACGTCGGCCCCCCAGAACAATTCAACCACACACCTACGACGGTCAGATGCCTTGGTCATCATACTAGAAGCAGCGCTGGAGATACTTCAAACTCAGTCTGAAGGAGATAGAAACAAATACAGTGCCCTAACTGCTGCTTTCAAACTTCAGTTTGGGAATGAACATTTGAAACAAGTTTTTGCAAAATAAGTAAAAACAAGAACCCAGAAAGTTGGAGAACCTCTTCAAGAATTTGAAACAGACATTAAGAGATTGGTATGTCTTGCATACTCCGACGCACCACCATCTTTTCAAGATAGGCTTCCGACAGAAACTTTACAAATATCGAGGTATCAAATATCATCGATTCGCGCACTGGAAGTGGAGGCGGCGTACAATTCTTCAACAACGTGCCACAAGGTTAGAGTGGCAAAACTAGAAACGGAAGAAAACGACAAGTTAGAAAAGCTGTTGCAAAATTTCTACAAGCAAATAATAAATGGCCTAGCTCAAGGACGAAACAACGGTGCGCCTCCTAAGAAAAGCATGGAGTGTTATGGGTGCCAGGGACATTTCAAACGCGTGCTCGATCACCAGGTCCAAGGAGAAGCACTTAATATATATATAGATCTCCTCAACGAAATGTGCAGGAAAACTAAAAACAGCTAGCACTTTCGGGGATCTGCTGGCTGGTAAGAATAAGGTCCCCAGCGAACTGAAAATAGGCAGTTTCACCAAAGGCAGTAGTCTAACTATACCGGGGAAGATTGATGAAAATTGCGTGGCAATCACGATCGATACTGGAGCTGAAGTCTCAATCCTACGTAGAGGACTCTTGAGAGCTAAAGATCTAAGGACTATTCCCTGAATTTCGACACCAATCAGGGGAGAAGCAGAGGTAGAAATCTGCATTGGTCAGCTGAAAATAAAACATCGGGCTCTTGTGGCTAACATTGAAGACGACTTTATTGGGAATGGATTTGATTAGCTGCCATGGATTGACGGTCGACTGACGTCTTGGCAATGAAGAGTTTATCCTGATTCAGCGCAATTTTGAATCCAAGCCTATAAGACTAATCGCGTGCCAGAATGTGAAAGTCAGAGGGAATACAAAAACGATTGTTCCACTTAGAGTAGAAATCAAACCCGAATTTGCCCTCGGCATTATTCAACCACAGCACACCCCTAAGAACAACCTCATGATTGCGAGAGCCTTAATTAATGCCGATTGTGACATATCTGTACGCGTCTCAAATGTTTTCCCCAAAGCCACGAACATCAAGATTGAGGCTGTTCTTGCCGTCTGTGAACCAGTCACGAAGGTATTTGATCACAACGAAGATTTTTCTGATAACAATGATGAAAAAATAAATTTGCAATTTTAGTAAGAAACGGCAAATAAATGGGTAAATCAGTCGATCTAGCACCATCTGGGATATATGGACTCAGCCATTCAATTAACTTTTGTGTTAACTCTTTGCTCAATCGGAAATTGTTTCTCAATTCGGTTTATGAAACTTCAAAAGGATTCAGTTGGTCATATTACCTTCTTTCATGTTCATTTAACAGATGGTAAACAAATATTGGAACAATTCGATCAGCCCGATTCATGTTTTCTGAAGCTAGTAATTAGTAAAATTCTAATTCTCTAATTTTTTACTTGTGCTGGTGTGTGTCAACTGGTAACTACATTGAATAATTCAAGAACTTACAGAGATGTAAGCACTTACAGAGGCAATTTCTTGCACCATAAATTTACAGAGACTGTAAGTTACAGAATGTAGGTTACAGAAAATTTATTTATAGAGAATATCAATTTTTTTATAGACTGTATGGTACAGAGTTACAGTGCTACAGAGCGCATTTTTTGCTTAGAGAATAGCACTAATACATACATGCATGGTTTTCACCTGAAATTATTCGGCAGGTTCGTTCAAAAAATCAGCTTAGAAGGAGATATTTAAAGTATGGAAATACAGCTGATGCGCTTGCATTCAGGGAATTGAGACGTAGCATTAGGTGAGAAATATCAATAGCTTATAATGCATTTATCAAGAATTCTGAAGACATGATTAACACAGATCCGTCAACTTTTTGGGGTTATATACGACGTAAAAGACGACACACCGGGATACCATCTTGTGTGACTCTTGGTGATACTGTTGTAACAGGAGCAAAAAATATTGCTAATGCGTTTGCACAATTTTATGAATCAACCTATATCCCTAGTTCTAGCTGTAACCTTAACAAAGTTAAATATGACAATACAAATGTGAACATAAATGTGTCTATCGTTAGTGAAAATGAAGTGCTTCAAGCTATCAACAGAATTAAATCGAACAATGTGCAGGGTCCTGATGGTATACCAGCATTTATCATAAAAGATTGTGCTCGGGTTTTAATTAAACCGTTATCTGTTCTTTTTAATCTCTGTGTTAACTTAGGAACATTTCCAGATTGTTGGAAGCTTTCCAAAATCATTCCTGTTCATAAATGCAAAATTCGAACTGCTGTTGAAAACTATCGACCTGTCTCAATTCTTAATAATTTTGCAAAAATCTTTAAATCTTTAATTTATAAACGACTGTATTTTCAAGTAGCTGCTTCAATTACAGAGCGTCAACATGGCTTTATGAGTGGCCGCTCTACAGTTACAAATCTTCTTTGTGTGACACAGTTTATCGCAGACTCTATCGATTGTGTACTACAGACCGATATAATATATGTAGATTTTTCAAAGGCTTTTGACAAACTAGATCATGGTATATTAATTGATAAACTTTATGCTTTGGGCTTTAATATGCAATTAATTAGCTTTTTTGGGTCCTACTTAGGTGACAGAAAACAATATGTCCATTGCTGTGGATATGATTCTGATGTCATTACTGTTTTATCGGGAGTACCACAAGGTTCTGTACTTGGTCCGCGTCTTTTTTTATTGTTCATCAATGATATCTCGAATGCATTAGGTATTGAATTTTCTTTATATGCAGATGAAATCAAGATATACAATAGAATAAGTTCAACTGATGACTGCCTTAAGTTACAACATAATTTGAATAGGATTGTGGTATGGTGCAATTTGAATAGGCTTTTGTTAAATCAAGATAAATGTTGTGTAATGTCATTTTCTTTAAAGCGATATAATATTCACTTTGAATATGTCCTTAATGGGGTAGTCTTAGCCAGGCCTCAGACCGTTTTGGATCTTGGGGTTGTTTTTGATAGTAGGCTCACATTTGCTTATCATATTAACAAAGTTGTGGCAGACTGCATGAAAACTTTGGGTTTCATCATAAGGAACTCTAGAGATTTTCAATACTGTGACACTATCATTCGACTTTTTAATTTATCAATTGGCGGCAAACTTTACTATGCTTGCATTATTTGGTGTCCTCGCCATAACATTCATTTAATGCATATGGAACGTGTCATACGAAGGTTTCTTAAATATTTGTTTTACTGAGGGAATAGTTTTTACCCACCTATTGGTTTTCCTCAATCTGAGCTTTTAAATCGCTTCACTTTCTCCAGTTTTACGGAAACTTGTAAAAAATTGTTTGTGTTCTTCCTAGTTAAAATGATAAATAACAGTGTAGACTGTCCTTTAATGCTAGCCAGATTATCATCCTCGAAGTCTAGTATCTCGCCACTCTGAAATTTTTTACATAGCTTGCCCGAGAAATTGATATCGCCAAATTCTCTCCTATGTCCACTATGTGTAGGATCGGTAATAGAACACATAATATGATTGATCTTTTTTCAACATCACTGCGGGCTCTTAAATTCTTTAATTATTCCCAAATTTAGTAGACTTTCACATTACTTCTTTGTAGGGAAGACCGTGTAAAAATTGCAAACACTGCGACAAGATCGAACAGCGTGAAACCATGCAGTTAAAGGTTCCGGGCAGCAGAATCAAGGAAGTACTTCTAGAGATGCACAATGGGGGTTCTGATGCTTATTTTGGAATTAACAAGACGCTTTCTAAAGTTAGGGGACCAAGGATTACAGCGAGAGGGCGATGCAACAATAGACGTCAATAAGTACATAATAGTAGTCAGCAAATGGCCCGAAGCTTATGCCATACGGAACCAAGAAGGGATGACCGTTGCAAAAACGCTTCTTGATAATTGGATCGCCAGGTTTGGGGTCCTAGTGGAACTCCATTCGGACCAAGGCAGAAACTTAGAGTCAAACCAAAGGGTGACTGAAGTCCTAAGGATACGGGAGACATAGACTACGCCGTTGCACCCACAGTCAGATGGAATGGTAGAGCGGTTTAATCATATCATTGAAGAACATCTTTCGAAAGTGGTGACCAAACATCAGAAAGACTGGGATCGACATCTTTCACTGTTTCTGCGGGTCAGACGCCGGCGCGCATAGTTTTCGGAAGGGAACTTCGTCTACCTTGTGACATCTTGTTCGGCTCTCCGAGTGAAGAACCAAAGGAGGTCATAGATTACGCTGCTGGGCGTTCACGAAATGGTGCGCCATAAGATCCGGGTGGCGAGTGACAGAATGAAAATACGCTACGACCTTAAGGGTAACTCAGTAGGATTCCAGGCAGGAGATTTGGTATGGCTTTATAATCCCCGAAGAAAAAAAGGTCGTTGCCCGAAGTTGTCACCAGACTGGTTTCATCATTAAAAACTCTTCATCTGCAGCTGTGCGGATAAACTCATCTACTTGCTCTCTGGTGCATACTTGTGATTTTTTAACTCGGTAACCAACATTCTTCTTTTTGATGAATCTTATTAGCGCACCATATTTGTCGATTGCAACCCTTTCGTTTCATTCTAAACATACTCGCAACACTGAATATTTTGGCCACAAAGAAGATGGGGAATACTGATTTGTAAGATGCAGG